CTTCTGCACAAATGTGGACTAAATCGCTGTGCGTTTCCAATATTCTCCATTCGTGACTGACACTTAATTGGCATTTTCTCTTCATCACCTTTGTAACTTCAAAGAATTATTTACTCAGTGTTTATATCACACTTACAGTTCCTGCTGCATATTTCCGACAGCTCAGGCGAATAAGTTGAGGCGAAAGGCTAATGCTGAAAGCTCCCTGTCACTGTGCAGATATATCACCTCAAATATTCCTTTTCACCAGCAGGAATGAAACTACCCTGAAATGTCACTCCAGAACACATAGCAGCAAGGTAGGTTTGGTAAGCACAGTACATCACACACCATGTAGTTTAATGGTGAAGTAATGAAGATGAGCAATGCAATCTGAAGGCCAACAAAATAGAAACAAAATTCTCCATTTGTACTTTTCAAAAACAATTGGACCTTCAAAGTGAAACTAACACAAGAGCCTGATATAAATCCTGCACCATTTTCATTTCCAAAATAACAAATGACTTTCACTCGTTTGGCCAACGTTGTTAAACAATATTGTTCATCTCACACAAGGAATCAAAACAAAGAATATCATACCTTTCAGAGGCTTCGTCTTCTGAGGTTTGCTTTTGACTGAGAGAAGAAATTGTATTTGTATTTTGGGAATGTGTAGTAGTCGGTGGTATTGTTGAAGAAATGTCACAAATACATCGTTGTCCTGTGGAAACAAGGGAATGATGTTCAGATTCACCTCATTTTCACTTGTAATTATCCAAGAGAACATCATGAACAAATGGAGGCTCATTACTTGGAGAAAAGCCTGTGTGATATTGTTACTTCCCCTTCTCTGGTCACAGTGACACCTATAAATGACTTAGTTCTACCGATAATTTTATAGAGTCATTGAGTCACACAGCATGGGAACAGGCCCTTCGGTTCAAAACAACCATGCTGACTAAGTTTCTCAAATGAAACTAGTTCCAATAGCCTGCATTTGGCCCATATCCCTCCAAACCTCTTCTATTCATCTACTAATTCAAATATCTTTAAATGTTGTAACTGTCCCTTCATTAACTATGTCCGCTTTCACACATGAACTAACCTCTGTGTGAATAATTGTCCCTCAGTTTCCTTTTAAAACTTTCTTCTCTCACCTTAAAAAATTCCCTCTTATTTGAAATCTCCCACCCTAGGGAAAAGACCTTTGCTATTCACCTCATCTATGCCCCTCATGATTTGAGAAGCCTTTATAAGTTCACACCTCAACCTCCTAAACTCCAGTGGAAAAAGTCCCTGCCTATCCAGCCTACACGTGAAACTCAAACCCTCCTGTTCTGGCAACATCTTGGTATATCTCTTCTGAACCAACTTCAATATAGTAATAAACTTCTTGTAGCAGGGTGACGAGAACAGTAAACAGTACTCCAAAAGTGGCTTCACCAACATCCTGTACAAACTCAACATGACAACGTTACCCAGGGCCCTGCCGTGAATTGCATAAGTCCTGCCCTTTTTTGTTTTACCAAAATGCAATACCACGCATTTAGTGAAATAACACAATGTGCCACTCCTCAGCCTATTGGCCCAATTGATCAAGATCCCTTTATAACCTTAGATAACCTTCTTAATTGTTGACTATGCCACCAATTTTGGTGTCAACTGCAAACTTACAAACCATGCCTCCTAAATTTTCATCCAAATTGTTTATATAAATTACACTGATCCATGCGGAACTCCACTGGTCACAGGCCTCCAGTCCAAAAAACAACTCTCCACAACTACCCTCTGTCTCCTGCTGTCAAGCCAATTTTGTATCCCATTGGCAAGATCACCCTCAATCCTATGTGATCTAATTTTACAAATTTGTCTACCATGAGGAGCCTTGTTACTAAAGTCTATGTAGACAAAGTCTACTGCTCTGCCCTCATCAATCTTTTTGGTTATATCCTCAAAAAACTCAAACAAGTTTGTAAAGCACGACTTCCCACACACAAAGCGATGTCGATTAACCCTAAACAGTCCTCCCCTCTCCAATTGCATATAAATCCTATCTCTCAGAATCCCCTCCAACAACTTATCCATCACTGATGTCAGGCTCACAGGCCTGTAGTTCCCAGGCTTCTCATCACAGCCTTGCTTAAATAAAGGCACAACATTAGCCAGCCTCCAGTCCTCAGACACCTCACACGTGACTGTGGATGATACAAATATCTTCACTCGGGGTCCCACAATTTCATCTATAACTTCCCACAATGTCCTGGGATACGCTTAATCAGATCCCAGCGATTTATTTACCTCTGTGTTTCTTAAGACCTTCAGCACTTCCTCTTCTGTAATGTGGACTGTTATCAAGACATCAATATTTATATTCCTGACATCCCCAGCATCTGTGTGTTTATCCACAGTAAAAACTGATGTGAAAATTTGGTTCAGTATCTCTCCCACGTTCTGTGGTTCCACACACAGACAATTTTTTTACTATCTTTCCCAAATCTGAGAGTTGATGCCTATATATCTGGGTTCTGTTAAAGGTTTTGGGCTGGTAACTACAACACAGATATCCCACTTTTTAAAACCACGAGTTTCACATGGAGCTTTCGCCTGCTGATATTGGCTCTGGTCAATTCCACCCTCTTGGGGTCAGTTTTCTGAGCTTTTAGGAATAATGTGAAATCCCATCCACAGACACATAACCTGCCAGTGATTTTCCATTGGCTGATCTGTGACGATCCATGAAACAGAAAAATGAGGTACCACATCTTCATGGAGTATTGAGACAACATGGCTTGGGAGTGTTGCGTTTTAATAACTACATTGTTAAATTTTTATCGTTTACTCTTTGTTGGCCAGCTTTTGCTGCCCATTCTGAATTACCCCTGATTGATTGGCTTTCTAGGCCTTTTGAAGAGGGCAGTTAAGAATCAAGCACATTGCTGGAGTCACATGTAGACCAGAGCTGGAAAGAGCTGCATGTTTCCTTCCCTAAAGGACATTAATGAACCAAACAGTGCTTTACAGGATCTTAGGAGACCCCAAAATACCTCACATTTGATGAAGTACTTGGTTGAATGAAGCAAACAGTTGTAATGCAGCAATATGTAGGAGTTAATTTGCATGCAGCCAACAGAATTGAAGTAATTCTCTCAAAAATCTGATTGTTTTTATCAACATTGATTGAGGAATGAATGCTTGCTTGGACACCAGGAGAGCCTCCATTCTGCAAACAGTTTACAAATGATGCCCTACCCAAAGGGCACACAGGTTCTCAGTTTATCACCTCATCGACACTGTCTCAGCTGCAAGAGCACAGCATTCCCTCTCTCTGCTGGGCAGTGGTATCCAGCTGCATTTTAACCCCAAAGGGGAACTTGAGCACACAATATGTTGGCATCAAATGTTAGAGTGCAGCCACATGAGCCGCTGCTGATAGTTACAAATATAGTTTATGTGTATCATTGCTACTTGATGCTAACCTGCTTCTTCTCTGACAGCTCAAACAGAAGATCATATCAGGAAATGCCTGCAGTCAGCATATATTTCATTTTTACAACTCATCTCCACTCTATACACAATATCTGCCCAAAATCTGGACATAATAGTCACTTACTGAATTTGATAATTCTATCTGGTAGACAAATTCAAATTGTCCGTCAATCAAACGTTTTTTAATTTTCGGGGATTATTGGAGTTATTGCAATGCTCATGCATGCTGTGGGTAATAATTTATGTATCTGCTCATTTTTGAAGTACAAAGCAAACCATTGGTTTTGTTCAGAACTGGCGATGAAACAAGTGGAGTGTGTTTTATCAATTACAGTCGCACAGAGTGAGATAAAACGCAACTAGTTTCAATAGACATTCAGTAAAAAATAAATCACATTGTTTGCTTCACACTTACCGATGCTGCTGATGTGTATTATATACCAGCAGTTCTTCTCTGTTTCATTGTTGACTGACACATGAACAATTTCACTGGATTTTGTTCCCTGAGTATTTGAGGCTGTGCAGTAATATTGATGATGTTGCTGCGTGAAGGATTGACAATGTAGATCCAGTTTATTGGTGTCAGAGATCTTTGAGTCTTGAGATGGGGTCTTCTCAGACCATGTGTAGTGAATGGGGAGGGATCCCCGGGCAGACTCACAGGAGATTGTCACTGAGTCCCCAGAACATGAGACATTTGGTCGTGACAAAAATTGAAGTCCAGGAACAGAGACAGCTTCTGTGGGAAAGAAACAATTGTTGAGAAATTGACTGCCATCGAAAAATCAAATACTCTCCAACACTTTTGTTATCTTGTTTCCTGGATAAAGTTTTGATCAGTCATATCAGCAGAATTAAAAAGTGAAATAATATCAGTGAGACATATGTACCTTCTGAGATGTGCAGCTTTACATTAAACATTGGGTCAGGGTCAATGCCAGGTTTGTCAATCCCACAGCTGTACCATCCTGCATCTCCCCATTGAAGCTTCTTCATTGAAACAAGAAATATTCCTTGTGTTTTGTTATCAGTGATTGATATTCTCCCATTTGCCCTGTTTGTTGTTGCTATAACATTACACTGACGAGTCCATCCTTGACACCAATATTTAGTGTGTGACTGGTACCACCGTGCTTCGTAGTGGCAATGTATTGTGATCGCTCTTCCCAAAATTCCCGTCACGTATTTCTCTGCCCATAAAGCACCTGAAACTGAGGACAAAATATTTCAGACATTTGGAAATTTTGAAAGAAGTGCTTAACATGGATGGATACATTGTAATCAGCTACATTCTATCTAGTTTATGATGAAGGTAATGTTAATATAAACCCTTATCAGAACCTCAGAGTGTTCCAGATTCACAGGGAATAATTTAAACAGTCGTACCCAATGGGTCAAGTTTTGGGGCAGCCTTGAAATTGGGCTTGTGCTAAACGATGTTGGCTCTAAGTCCACTGTGTGTGACATCATCAAAGTGTAACTCCTGGAGAGCAGCCTGAGTGACAGGCCTGGATTGGAATCGTCTGGGGATTAGTGTGAAGGAGGCTACAGGTGCTGAAGGGTCCTTATTCTGACTGGAGAGGGAGAGTTTCATCCAGGGAGGAGAGGGGAGTGTGTAGACTCATGGTGTGCTCAGGGGCTGAATTTCCAGGTTTTGAGGGGCAGATACAACAGGTGACACAGGAAGATTATGAGAGGCCTCAAGGAGTTAAAGGAGAGATTTGAAGTTCAGCAAGGGACGGTTCACAAATGGCACAATGCCTCAGTGGTTTGCACTGATGCCTCACAGCGCCAGGGACCCTGTTCCTTTCCAATCTCGGGCGAACGTGTGTGAAGATTGCACATTCTCCCTGTGTCTGCGTGGGTTTCCATTGGATGCTCCTGTTTCCGCCACAGTCCAAAGATGTGCAAGTTCGGTGGATTGGCCATGCTAATTTGCCCATAATGTTCAGGGATGAGTAGGTTAGGTGCATTAGCCATGGGAAATGCAGGGCTACAGGGATAGGGGAGCGGAATGGGACTAGGATGTTGCTCAGAGAGTTGTTGTGGAGTTGTTGGGCCGAATGGCAAGTTTCCACACTGTGGGGATTCTATGATCTATGGTCAATGTGCAGAACCTTGAGGGCAGTAAAGGCAGAATTATTTGTAATCAAACATTGTTGTCACTTTAAGGATAATAAAATAACAGAAGTAATTTATTGATTGTTCTGGAGAGATACTTCATGAGTAAATGTTTAAATTGCTGCCACATTGTGTCCTGGTGTGGAAGAGGGGCAGCCTGTTGATGATTGGGTAGACTTTACCTCAAAAGATATGATTGTGTGGGAAACAATTCTCAACTGAAATGATAGAAAGGATTTTAAAATAAAATGAAGTGGTTGAGAGGAAAGGAGGAAGGGAGAAAATGCATGAACAATTAAAGCTGATGGAAGTCACGAATTAGAGTTCTTATTGAAAAAGGAAGTCTTGAAGAGGATTGCTGAACACACAGAGGCACGATTCGGTTTTCTGTCTGCAAAGTATTCTGCATGAAATTGGTGAGCTTGAGCCTCAATCTGTTGCAGGAAGGTTTCCTGTAACATTTCACTGAGCTGCGGCCCTGGGAAGTTTAATATTTTGCATGTTCATCTTTGCTTCATTATAAACAAAGGGGAAGTGGCAATATTGAACAATAATTTTATTGCAGTGTTACAATTACAATTGTTGTAATATGTGGACATGAAAGAACTTTGTTCAAGTTAAAGACAGAAAGGAAAAAGCCTTCTTATGGGAAGAGAAATATAAACAAACCGTCTTCTTTTCTGACAGAACCTTGCAAAACAATATTGAATGAATTGTTCTATAACAGCAAAAGAAATGAAAGCAAACCCAAGATGTGTTGATTGATAGCTTACTACCACATCAGTTTTCAGTGGATACCGAACATTAAAAACTTTGGACTAGTTCAAATGATTATGCTGTTTGAATCACTTTAAAAAACATTATGCTGTCCTTTTTTATTTTATTCATAATTAATGATGCAGCTGTAAAGTATTTGGTAACAGTCTTGTGATATTATTATATTTTCAGAAGAAGGTATAACGTTTCCTGATGCTGTTCATGTATTTTTACATTTTTTCATTTGAACCTCAGTCAAAGCACATGGTGCTTCTATTTTCTGCAGTTTGTTCTTCCTGGAACAGGTCACTAGCCTCAGACCAGTTTGTGTAATTTAAGGGGTGTCACACTGCACTGGATAAAGCTGACTTGGAGTCCCATCCACTCTTGCTCTCTGCCATGAGCACGTTGGAAGAATTTGCAGGTTGATGATGAACCTGTTTGGCTTTGTGAGAATGCATACTCCTTTGGAAAATGTGCTGGAGAATGAATCGAACTCTCAGCATTTATCACAGCAATAAAGATGTTACCTGCTGTGTCAACAAGATGTTCCTTTGTGCTTTTACATGTCTCCAAATATGCAAACATCTCTATGCTGTGTAAACCAGACGGTAGACTTTAATAAACATTAATTATTGGAATAAACATCTCAGATGGTCACTTACCGGGAATGGAACAAATGAGGAGAATCACAGTCCACATCGTTTTATTCACAAGGATCAGATGTTGATGTCAGTCACACAACTCTTGTTTCTCACATTGAAATAAGTGTGTAATACAATGTCTACAAGAATGTAAATGAGGAAGAGGATATAGGAAGCCAGCTTCTGAACTACTGTATGTCAGATGACGTGATTTAACCTTGAAGAAATTTTTGTCCTGTCAGTTATGCTTAACAGAAGAACTAAACTAATTTTCATCGAATGAATAAAAAATTCTGAAATCAAGACAGTTCAAGAGTCAGGTGTAAGGATAACAGTGACTGAAGCTCAGTATTTAGACTGAATTCTCAGGTGAACAAAAACTGGGGCTCATTCTCCCATGTTAGAAATTGCAACAAACAGTTTTTGACAAATACAGATTTCTTTTGTAAAAATTAATCCTGCAGTTAAAAATAGAATTGATTTGAATATTTAGTCCTTTTCTGCAAATTGTGCCTCCTGTTGTGAGTGCTGAATAATTATTGTGTCAGGATCTGAACTCCTCGATGTGCAGGAGAAGGACACTCTCTGCTCTGTTTCCACAAGACCCAAGTAAACAAGTAATGAGGCTGATTTCAGGTGGAAAAAGGAACTCAACTGACAGAGAGACAATTCTGGGAGAAGTGAACTGTGACTGAGTAACTGGGAGTGAGCTTCAATTCCAAGGTGAGGGTCCCTCTGGTGAACTGCCTGACATGGGGCTTTGTATTTCCCAGGACGTGTTTGATGATGAGTGAGTCTGGTGAATCATGCTGGGTTTCACCTTTGAAAAGATCAAAGGGGCTGATACCCTTCATTGACCCTGCTAACCCCCACCCACAATGCTGAAGGCAGTGCTCCCACCTTAATGCTTAATATGGAAGGAGAGTCACCGGAGATGTTACCCAGAGATTGAACCAGTGAGGACCATCGCAATGATCTGTCTGGGAAACAGAAACAATACGTTGGGTAAACCCCTTGTAGAACATTTGGAAACATTTTGGGATTATTACCCCAATGTGGATGAAACCCCTCTGCCTTGAGGTCACCAGCGTCTGAGGGTCAGAAATAGAGAGCAGTGACCTCCCAGCCCCTTATGACATTGGCACTGTAGAATCAGTTGGAAAAATATGACAAGATTCAAAAATCAGACTCTGTGATGCAACAGTGAATGCAGCTCTTATTAACAAAGTGAAGAATATCTGATCAAATTGTCAGGGATCCTGTAAAGTGACTTGCTCAGTGTCAAAGCCACATCCTGTTGGATGGGCACTCAGCAGTTTGCAAATGACTGTTCTTCTGAGACAAACCATTCCACCACCTGAACTTGTGCAATTTTACATTGCTACAATGTTACATTCCACAAACAAATATTAATCAGATGTAATTATTTAACTTGGTGGTTACAGTTATCATTTCAGTTTATTGTTCTTTTCCCATTACATTAATCCAAAATCATTTTATGAGAAGATCTCTTTTCTCATACAGAAATGTCCAATGTGAGATAGAACATGAATATTCAAACAAGATGCAAATTTCCAGCAAATGACACAGGAACAGGGAATCTGCACTTTTCCACTTTGGTCGAGCTGAGAGCATCAGATTCAATGTGGAACTGGAAAGAAACATCGGAAACACTGAGACAGAATATAATGCCTTATTTTTCATGTTAGTTTTGATTCGAATTGTGGACATGGCAATTAAATGATGAAAACTTGTGATGAACTCCACCTTCCCCATCCCCCATTGCACATGTTCTGGGAAACTAATACAGATCAGTTCCGCTTGTACACGTCTAAGATACAGAGAGTTAATGTTTTCCTGCAGTTGTGCTGGTGATCAGGTGACAGAGAAAATAGGTGAAGACATAAGACATTGGAGCAAAACTGCGCCATTCAGCCAATCATGTCTGCTCTGCCATTCAACTGGATCACGGCTGATCTCATAATCCTCAACCCCACTTTCCTACCTTTTCCCATAACTCTTGATTCACTGACTGATTAAAAACCTGTCTATCTCAGCCTTGAGTGTAATTAATGGCATAGCCTCATCAATCCTTTTTGGCAACTAATTCTACAGATTCACAACGATCTCAGAGATGTAAAAAAAAATTCTCCTCATCTCGAACTTAAATGTATGTATCATCTGAGATAATGCCCTCTGGTCCAAGTCTCACCCACAAGGGGAAACATGTGTTCTGCACTTTTCCCATCATGCCTTGCAAGTTTCAATAACTAACCTCTCACTCTTCTCGATTCCAATGGGTACAGGACCAGTCCTACTCAAAATCTTCTCACAAACCCCTTCCCATGTCCCTCGATACCTTTATTAGCTAGAAATGTATTGACCTCTGTTTTGAGTATATTCAAAGCTGTAGCCTCCAGAGCTCTCTGGGGCAGAGAATTCCAACAAATCATCACCCTCTAAGCGAAGAAATTCCTTCTCATCTCAGTCTCAAACGGTCAACCCATTCTTCTCAAACTGTGCCTTCTGCTTCAGAAACATCTCCATCCAGGGGCATCTCATTGATGGAGAACTTAGAGAACTCAGAATTATTCTTGTAAAGGCCATGATACCCACCTAATGTTTTCTCATGTACGTTGTGACCGAAACAGAACAAATTACCAGGAGAGTGAAGAGCACCCAGCGTATCACATTCCAGACACCGTAACTGGCAAACTGGACAAAATACAAAATCATTTGTAGGAAACAAGTCTGCTTCATGTTTCAAACATTTATCCGCTGTTTACACTACAATCTTAGTTTATTGTAGCAAAGTAAAGCTGCACAGCTCAGAGAGTTAAGTGGGGAAACTGAACTACAGTTTAATTTCTGAATGACATGAACAATAGATAAAGGTGAATTGAAACAAGGTTCAGTCGCCTGTACTGTATTGCACATCACAACGTTATGCTTGATCATTATATCTTAAATAGTTGGAGATTTCTGGTACAATATTACAACGGTGAGGGTCTAGTCAGTGAGTAAGAAACTCAGAACAGCATCATCCCACAGTGCTCCTTGCTCTTTCTAACAGGCAAGTCTTAACCAGCTGGAACCAGATGGCCTTTCACTCTCTCAGTTTGGGAACAAGGTGTAACTCTGCGGATCTTAGGAAGAGAAGATGACAGAGAATGTAATGTCTCTGTCAGTGATACTGCAGAATGCTCTGAGTTTTCAAAAACTGCCATTTCTTTGCGTTGAAAACTACAACACCATGAGCAGAGATCAATAATAAAGCATTTAACTTTAATGCTGAAAACTGCACTCGAATCTGCGAGGTGGCAAACAGAAAATTGTTACTTTCTATTATAGATTTCCAATTTCATGAACAGTGACATTGTCAGGAAGGTAACAGGATAGCATTGTATAAAATCGGCCACCATTTCCATTCTGATAAATTATAGCCTGAAATTGAAAATTATTGAAAACTTTTATGCAAAATGACATATTATCATTTGGAATCAATGCTAATGGGAATATTGACAATGAAAATGTTCTACCTTTTACTGACAGACTTGGATCGTAAAGATGTTTGTGTTATTGTTGGTGTTGTTGTTGTTGCTGTTGAAGAGACTTCACAAATATATTCACTTCCTATTGAGAGATCAGATAATATTCAGCTTCATCTGAGTCTCACTTGCAGAGAACCAAGAAAGCACTCTTCACAAATGGAACCTCATGATTTTTTGTGAAGAACAGATTTTGTTGAATTCATTTGTCGACAACTCCTGCTTTCTGGAGAGATGTCATAGTGACATAACTTCAACATAATTTAAAGATAACACAGTGTGGAGCTGGATGAACACAGCAGGCCAGGCAGCATCAGAGGAGCAGGAAAGTTGACATATCGGGTTGGGACCCTTCTTCAGAAATGGTGGGGGGAAGGGAGCTGGGAAATAAATAGAGAGAGGAGGGGTGGGGCTGGGGAAGGTAGGTGGGATGGTGATAGTTGAGTGCAGGTAGAGAGTGGTGGGGATTGGTCAGTGATGTGGGAGTGGTGTATCGGTGAGAGAGAGGATAGACAGGTTGTGTCAGGACAAGGAGGCGGGGATGAGAGGGAGGATTGGTCATGGGATGAGACCGGGGGTGGAGAGATTGGTAAAATCCATATTTAGGCCATTGGGCCGGAGGCTTCTGAGGTGGAATATGAGGTGCTGCTCCTCCAGTTTCTGGGTTGCATCTTGCATCTATTTTCAAAAATGAATCATTGCTTTTTCAAAATTGTTAAAAAATGAAAGTGACATAATGTGATGAGGTGCAGTTAATCGTGTGACGAAAGAAGCTTAACAAATGAACAGTTTGAATAGCCATGAAATGAATTCATCAACATCAGTGTCTGTAAAAAAACTTACTGATGCTACTGATTTATATCATCTCACTACAGCTTCTCTCTACTCCCTGGCAAATGATACATGAACAATTTCACTGGATTTTGTTCCCTGAGTATTTGAGGCTGTGCAGTAATATTGATGATGTTGCTGTGTGAGGGATTGACAATGTAGATCCAGTTTTTTGGTGTCAGAGATCTTTGAGTCTTGTGATGGGGTCTTCTCAGACCATGTGTAGTGAATGGGGAGGGATCCCCGGGCAGACACACAGGAGATTGTCACTGAGCCCCCAGAACATGAGACATTTGGTTGTGACAAAAATCGAAGTTCAGGAACAGAGACAGCTTCTGTGGGAAAGAAACAATTGTTGAGAAATCGACTGCCATCGAAAAATCAAATATCCTCCAACACCTTGTTATCTTATTTCCTGGATAAAGCATTGATCAGACATATCAGCAGAATTGAAAATTGAAATAATATCAGTAAGACATATGTACCATCAGAGATGTGCAACTGTACATGAAACATTGGGTCAAGGCCATATTTCTCAATCCCACAGCTGTACCATCCTGTATCTCCCCATTGAAAATTCTTCATTGTAACAAGAAATATTCCTTGTGTTTTGTTATCAGTGATTGATATTCTCCCATTTGCCCTGTTTGTTGTTGCTATAACATTACACTGACGAGTCCATCCGTGACACCAATATTTAATGTGTGACTGGTACCACCGTGCTTCGTAGTGGCAATGTATTGTGATCGCACTTCCCA